TTCCATATGAAGTTGAGTATTATTCTTTCTAGGTCTGTGAAGAATTGTGTTGGTATTTTGATGGGGATTGCATTGAATCTGTAGATTGCTTTTGGTAAAATTGCCATTTTTATCATTAGTCCTGCCTATCCATTTGTTTTGTATTTTGTTGTGAATCATTTTTTTTTGGGGGGGGGAGAGCTAGGCTTATCAACCAGTTTCTGCTGTACACTCATTTTTGTTCATTTACTAACTCATATTCCAGAAGCTATTGTATACATCATATATTATTTCACTTTGAAAATATATAGTCACTCAACAAACATGTATTGAACATCTGTCACACAGTTTGAGTATAGAGGAGCTCATTCCTGCCAGGTAAATGTCAACTTATGATAGAAAAAGAGATGTTTCTATCCTAACTTCTTAAGTTTATTGACCCAATATTGACTAAGGCTGAGATGTGCCAGCTTTTTTCTTATGATTGTATTTTAAATCACAAGAACATCTGCAGTGTTATAGGCCAATTGATATTGAGCAGATTTTCATGGAAAAAGAAATATTCTCCATTACAAACACACACATTTAAAAGAGGCATTTGTATTTGCTATGTATGTGTTAAGAAATGAATATCTGACAGTTTGATATCCTCTGAACTTAGGTATTAGAGCACCAAACATTACTAAGGTAATTCTTTTCCCCTGGTCTTAAGTAACTCATAAACATGCTACAATAAAAAACACAAACAAACAAACAAACAAAACAAAACAAAACCTTTCTCTCCTTAGGGAATAAATGCATGTGGCTGCTAAGACATGTGACTCATGTAAGAGTTCTCAAGGTTTATATTGCTATTATCTGGGCTACCATGTGGTTTCTTCTTGTTGGTCGAGTTGGAGGAGCTTATCTTGTAGGAAACTAGAGATGCTGGCATAATGGCCTGCCTTGGCATGGTGCTGGGGTAAAGAGGGTGCTGCTACTGTAGACCTTTCAGTTCATTGAGTACCTTCTAGCTGCTTGCTGTGCTAACCCTTTTAAAATGTAAATTGAACTCTTTAAACCCACTCTTTAAGGATGTTTCTGTGGTTCCTTGTTTGCCAATGAGATAACTGGAATTCTAAAAGCATGTAACCCCATTGTAAATTCACACAGTCAGACTCTACACACTGGCTATTATAATTTCAGACCTTTCGTTTTTTCTTTTGTTCTCTGCCTCTCTTGATAGATCCTATCAAAATGTGCTCCTTCCTGCTCTGTGAGCATATGACATTCACACCTGGGTTTGTCAAGTTAAGGAACTACAAAGTGTCACTCACCATTAATTATATGTGTAGCTTGAATGCATTCAGTTATGAATTCATCCAGGCTGTATTTAGCCATGAAGTGACATTAAGATTGCAGCAATCATCAAGACATGCCATTTTATTAAATGCTTAGAGTAGAGCCTAACAGGAATAACTATTGCTCCCTCTTTTACTTTGTTAAGGGTAGGATTGCCATTTATATGTATTTTGCTGTAACCGTCACTGAGGATAAACTCACCTTGAAAATATTTTAGGAAGATGTCATGTTGAAAGGCGACAGATCTCTAAGGATTTCTTATGCAGCCAACTTTTCCTTCAGCCCCAAGAAAGATCATTTTTTATCTTGCTGAGCACATGATAACCCCATGGGGTTGCTTACTTCACTGGGTGAAAAATACTATGTTCAGATGTGAGACAGCATCACATCTGCAAGATGCTCCTAGCAAGAGGGTGTCTGCACCAGAGATGAACTAATTTATAGCTTTTGTCTCAGGTTTCCTGTGGATAGATACGTTATTTCCAAAGTGACCCACCACATCTATTTACTACCTGTGTTCTCTAGAATGTTCTGTTTCACTCTCCAGTGTAATTTCTCTTTTTTTCTGTATTTTCCCCTCAATTCATTAAAGCTTAAATATACCTGTGTTATAGGATTTTATTATTTAATGAAGCAGCCAGGTATCTACTTGTTCTTATACATGTAGATTATTCACAGTCAGTTTTCAGTATTCCCGTCAATTTTTCTTTTACGTTTGGAGTCTCTGTGAGCATACAAATAAGTCTGATGAGCAGCTATAGCCTCCCAACTTGATGTCAAACAACTCTTCAAAAGCCCAAGTAAGAATATTAGTGTTTCAGCACAGAACCTGATCTCTATTGTCATGGGTGTTCTTGACAGTGGTGAGAAATTGGCACGCATTGGGATCCATTTTATGTTGTTTGCATGACACGAATAGATTTTGAGGGTTTGTCTAACCTTGAATTAATATTTGGTCAGCAAAAATTGGATCCAACTGTGCGATACACTGACTACATGGTATCCTTATCACTTGAATAATAAAATCATATTGAATCTTACATCTTTTAACTTTAGCCTTGGATAGGGAATAGGTACATCAAAAAACCTCACTCAATTTGTACTGCATTTTCTCTTTTCCACTGAAAGACTATTTGTAACCCTTTGGGTGCTGTACACCGCAGAATGACGTCAGTCTGTGTATTTCTCTAGTTAGGTAAAAATATTCAGCTTGCTTCCAGAAACCAGTGAACCTCAGTGTGCTGGGGTGGTGTGTACCACTCATCCACCGGTTGGAAGCCACATAAAGTGCTGTTTTGTGCATTGTTAGTTGGCCATAAGCAATTCTATTTGTTGTAATCAAGCAAAAAAAAAAAAATGGCCTCAGAAACAGGCCTAATGGGATTGAAAGGAACGTTACAAAACAAAAGTGTAAAGGGCACAGCCTGTGAAGTGTGTCACTTGGTCAATTGCACAGCAGTAGGAGCTTTCTTTTACTTGCTAGCTTGGAATTTTTCCTCCCAGTGTACTGGTGTGAGGTTCTCTCCGGAGGCATCACAATCTGTTTAGAACTTCTTGGCAACAGCTTTTGGATCAAGGCCAAAGTGATTGCCTGTTAATGCTTAAAATAGAAGAAGGTTACTTGCATATATATTTTTCAAAACAATCTTTCCTTTTCTTTAGTCCCAAAGAAGTTTTAGTTTTATAAATCTCCTTAATTAGTAATTTCTGCTGGATTGTGTTAGGTTTATTAGATGAGATTAAGCCAATATGAATGATGTTTATTAAATACTGACAAGAGCCAAATAAAATCTCCTTGACCTATGTTTACTATTTGGTGCCTGAAAGAAAAGCTAAGCTCATCAGAGGTGTGTTCATGGGTCTGAATTAGAAAACAAGCTTATGGATGCTCCCCTCCCCTCGAGTCTGAGTGCCAAGCTTCAAGTGATCTGGGAATTAACAATAAAAGGCTTTTGATAATGATTGATATACATCCTTCATTTCACACGTTGGTTTGTTAAAAGATGGGAGCTTGGCATGAATCTCTGTGGGTGGGAAATGGCTTCTTGAGTTGAAGGCTATGTTGACTCTGTAATTGATAGAGGTCTAGTTCTGGAGTGCTTTTTAATAGAAATCTCCTCATTTGAGTGACATCCTTTCATTTTGATGCCTTGGTCACCGCATCAGACCAAAGCAAGTGGCTATTATCTACAACAGTTTGTGGAGGGCTGCCAGGGATGAACACTAACAAATTGTGGTCTATTCCAAAATCTCTGAATCCATGAGGGCAGATGCATCAATAAAGCTTCCCATGTGAAGTGTAATTACGTGACTGTTTCTGCATGTCTACCCTTTCGACCTCCAATATTCTGAGATAGAAAAGCCCAGAATTCTGAGCAACAGAACAATGCTATTAGGTATTTACACATTGGATTGTCTATGATGCAAAGTGGGGTGAGAAGAAAAATTAGTATATGTTTAATACGATAAAGATGAAAATTAATTTAAAAGTTTCTCCATAGCTGGATATTATCTCTAAAACTGCAACTCTTGTCTATCCCTAGGTTCTGCAAACAGCAGACAATGACCCTGTCGTGATACTCCAGGCAGATCATAGTGGAACTAAATTTACGGGTAAGAGTATTACTTTAATCAAATTCTTTATACATTTATACTGTGTTTAATTATCACATCACACAATGTATAAGTATAGCCAGAGGAAATAACAAGGGATAAGAAAATGTCACAAAAATTGAATATTCACTGGTCTATAGAGCATGTATAAACCAGATACATAATAGTGTATGTGGATGTACGTGTGTGTGTGTGTGTGTGTGTGTGTGTGTGTGTGTGTGTGTGTATCTGTGTGCATGGGTGTATTCATGTGTCTGTGTATGTATGCATGTGTATGCCTGTGTGTGTGACTGACGGTGCATTCATGTATGTGCATTACATTAAAATGCTTTCTTATTTTTTTAAAGAAAAAAAAAACTCTTCCCTTGAAGTTATTTTTCTTGTTGGCTGACCTCTTGACATATTTGAAAATGACATCTTGACCACATTTATCTAAATGTCATTTTTAATGGAAAAATGAATTTTGCTCCTAAATTCTGAGAAGGTTAACTTCTTAGGGGGCTTGGTGTTTACCTAGGAAAAACATATTTTCAGGGGTCAAAAAGAGCTTTCCCTTTTGTGGTCTGGAGGGAGTTTGAACTGTCCCTAGGATTTGAATGAATATGAAATCTGACTTGACACTTCAGTTGGAGTTTTATCAAATTGTTGCAATTCTAGGCAGTATGATATTCAGTTTCTAAGAATTTGAAAGTCAACAAGTCTGTTTTGAAGGGCTAGACACACACATTGATGTTCCTCCAAGGAAACCAAGTCTGTTTTGAAGGGCTAGACACACACATTGATGTTCCTCCAAGTAAACCTAGTTTCCTAATTCCTATTACTGGAAGAAGAGTTGTAATTACATGTAGGTAGAGCATATGCATTGTGATTACATTGTATGTGTGTATGTATATGTATATGTATTGTTTTAATCATGTGTATCAATGCTATGCTTGGTCTTTAGTATTATGTTCCATTCAGAAAAAAGGGTCAACAATTAGTGTCATTTTTGGTTTTCAATACAAAGTGATTTGAAAGATTCGTTCTTAATAATATAAAGTGTTTTCTTATGCTTGAAGAGCCCAGTTTTACCAATGACAGAATATGATACCTGAAAAATTAAGTTATCATTTGATACATGCAAAACTTTTTGCTATATAAATTACAAATAGGACCCTAATAAATACAATGTAAAGACAGACATGACACCTTGACTTTAAGTTACTGTTAACATTATTTAGCTTCTAGTAACCTGTAGAGGCCTTCTAAATGAAGTCAGGGCTGTTCAAGGAATAAAGATTTGAGGATACTGTGTGTGTGCTTTGAGAATCGCTTGACCTCTTTGTCTCTTAGTGCAATGGTATTATCCTCTGTGTATTTGCGTCTTCTGTTTGGAACTTCTCTGAAGAGACATGTTAAGTCCAGTTAATCTGTATGTCTATTAGAAGATCATAAACCATGTGGGCTATATTCTAATTTCCTGAGGGAGAAGTCCTCCGGAAATCTGATTACTCAGGTCTTTTGATGATAGAGTTTATAAGGGGTGCATTTATTCTATTAAAGCCCTTTTATGACTTTATTTGTAATAAATTTCTAGTTTGTGAGATACCTAGGTAAGTCTTCTCAGAAATTAAAGGATCAAATATAACACCCATGGGATGGGACACATAATTCAATGGTAAAATACATGCCTGGAATGTGCAATGCACTGGGTTCAGAACAACAAAAAGTATCCCAGTAATCCAGAACAATCACCCAAATAAAAAATATAAAACAACCGGTATATTATCGAGTAAACTTCACTCTACCATAGGAAGTCTAATTGTCTTTGTGCCAGCTTGGTATATAATTAATAATTATATCTGTTGACATCATAAAAAGGGATACAAATCTGTGAAATACACTATTGCTCACTCATTACTGTCCACCCCACCCTATATTTTGTTTAATTATAATTCTTTTTTTTGTGTTCTTGATGATTGAGTAAATCATTATTTAATTCTATATAATATGTTATTTCCTTTTTCAGTTTTTATTGTGATACTTGAGAAATTATCCTTGTAGCTTCCCGGAAAGTTTTGTGGGATCATGGTCCTAGAATACACAGAGACACACACAAACACACACACAGACACACACACATACAAAAAAACCACACAAACACACAGGTTAGCATGTACACACACACACACACACACACACACACACACACACACACACTCACTCACTCGTTAATTTTCTTTTGTTAATCCTTTGTGTGGAGATTTCTCCCTTGCTACAGAGCCTCTTCAAAAATAATTTTTTTTT